CCTCCCCATCCTGACCCTTCCAGGGAGGAGGAAGAGGAAGGCAGTGTAGATTTACAACAGGCGGTTGAGAGAGGTAGAAGCTCAGAGGCAGATGAGGGGGGAAGCTGGGGAATCATGGGAGAGCCAGAACAACACCCGGCTGACATGTTGTCATTAGAAAGCATTTCAGACCCACCATCTCCCAGAACCCGGCAAGCCTTAAAAGTAGGAGAGCAAAGAGCTCAAAGACAGAGGGCACACAGCAGCAAGGGGGTGGAGATTCACTCGGGACAACGCCATTATCCAAGAGGCTGGGTTCTATAGCCTCTCTCTGTAAAGACTGAAATAAAAAAAGACTGTAAGAAACTTTTCCTCGTCATTATACTTTCCTGGGCAACCAGCCAGGAGCTGCTGACAGCATCCTGATAGATGCATACATGTAATCTGCAATCAATGTATTTATGGGTTGTAACTAATGTTTCAGCCCTAATGTGGGGGGGCGGGGGGGACATTTATGTCTGACCAGCTTAAAAACAACACAACATACCATGGAAAGTGCAATGCTAGGAATATCATTAAAAGATTAAAAAAAACAAAAAACCCTAATAATTCCATATGACAAAGGCGAACAGTTGTGGATGTTGTGGAAAAGGCCACAAAGTGAAAATGGACGTATGTAGGGCAAGAGGCGACTTAGGCTGATGGAATTGAAACGGTCTTCGTATCGAGACCCTACAATTTTGAAAGACTAATGGGACAACCACCTGTGTAATGGACAGAGGATGTAAAACTAGTAGTAGGTCTTATGTGGATTTAGGAAGCAAACAACAGAGAAGGCTGCAGAGAACTTGAAGAATCATATATCCAAAGACTGGTGTAAGACAATGCAAAAAAAGAAGTGGGTGGGTGGACGGGAAAGCACATGATATTCGTCACTATGTTTGGTAGATGGATAGACAAACAGACAGAGAGACAGATGAAAGATACACACACATCAAATAAATGGTTTAAAATGCAAAATGGGACACAAATGTGCATTCTGGTAGGATGGGCATAAAAGGTCTCAATGCCTTTTTTGCCTTTCAGTATCTTCTCATAGAAGCAGTTAACATGGGTAAATATTTTTCATACTTCCTTCTTTCCTTCAACGAAACAAATCACCGTTGATTTCTAACGCATAGTGAGACATATACGAAGTGGGACATGAGCTAGAAATGTCAGAGAGATCTGTGGCGAGCAAAATCAATTGTTCTCACTGAGTCCTAAAAATTACTGGGACTCCAGGCCAGCTGATAGGATCAAATTGCCATCGTCGCTGAGTGGTTGATCTCTCAATATCCCTTCCGAAACTCAGATTGGGTTCAGACCTTGCAGCTTGTACCCAGCTGAGAAAGCTACGTTCTCACCTCTCTCCCAAACTCCCTCTACGATTTTGAACAGGGTGCTTTCAGTTTTCTCCACCTCTAAGGATCAAAAGGAACTGAAAAGCCTCTCTCTTTCCCTACCTATCTGCTAAGCAAGGGCACCCTTCCCTTTATAGTCACTCTGCTGTATCCAATCCGCCAAGTTTCTACAACAGCACCATCTTGCTTCCAGCTGTGCAGAGGCTGCCGGAACATCCTGATCCCTATAATTAAAGGGGAAATATCCGACCCTTTTAAAAGGCCCTTTCCAGCTGTGCTGAGATGAGACAGAATCTTGGTGTACAATGGGAGAAGCCATTTGCTGCCGGGGTGATCTGGGGCAGTGAAATCAGATGGCATTAGCAGGCAGGCACATGTCACAGCCGGGACATCAATTACAGGGTTGCTGAGCCCACGAGAGCTACAGCTGGCATTGATGAAGTCCCATTTTGTTTGCCCAGGAAACCCGGCTGATTAAACTTGTCTCCCAGGGGATCAATGGGCAACTAATAATGCAATCAATGCAGCTAGTGATGGCTGGGGCTGCAGTACGTGGAAGTTCTACAAGTCTCTTTTCCACCAAGGCAACCCTGCTAAGTCCCAGCAGCTAATTTGAACCCCATCCCCTGTAAAATCAATGTGCATTGATTTTTAGGGTGTTTATCGCCCTTTAAAATGGTGTCTCGGGGCACCCTGTGAAAGGAACCACTTCTGACTACAGCTGCATTCTTCCTGAGCTATCCATTCCAGCTGCTTAAGATTCACAACCACTGTCTTCACAACTGGATGGGAGAATGGGAGTGAGACCAAATGTCAGTGCGACTTGGAGAAAAGCACTAGGGCAGATACTTTACCAACAGTGTCAGGAACTCAGATATCTAAGCTAGGCGCCAAATAGCTTCTTAAACCAGGGTTACAGTCACCAAAACAGAATACCTAATTGTCATTTTTGGGCCAGACAGCTTGAAAATCATATTTTTCAGTACGACTTTGGTTCCTGGAATGAACTCTGATTGTGCAGAGAAAATAATGGCGGACAGAATTCTACAGGATGTATTGCCAGTGTGTGAAAACAGTCAAGATCCAAGGATCCCCAGGCTTGCACCTCCAGATGGTGGAGACGTCAAGCGCCATCCTGGCACCCGGGCATCTTCACTTGGTTGCAAGTGGGCAATAGCCATGTGCAAAATGCGCCTGGCGAATTTCAAACATCATTCTCCAGCCCCGTTTCCTAGCTGAGCTGTACATTCCAAATGGGGCAGGGATGGAGAATTTGTGATCCCCCAGATGTTATTGGGCTACAACTCCCCTCACCCCATATTATTTGCCATGTTGGTTGGGGCTAATGGGAACTGCTGGCCAGCCTCTAGAAGACCACATGTTCCTCAGCTCAGCTTCCAAGAAGCAAGGAGCCCAGGGAACAGCAAGTACCTGGGCCTCCTGCACACTCTCCAGCTGAGGTAGGTCTAATCCAGACTTTCGGATGGTAGTTTTATGCTAGTTCCAAGTGCTGCCATGTTTATATGAATTTTTTTAATGTAATCTTATTGTTATGAGTTTCCCTGGGCTCCCTTTGCAGAGGAAGAGTGGGTTATAGCTTTTAAATAATAAACAAACAAGTCCACTGCAAAGTGAGAGCAGTGCTAGAAAGGATGGTGAAATAGCACATTGGTCCCCAGCCCCAGACATCATTAGTGGTTAGTAGTGAATAGAGATAGATATATCACAGGACATCAAACAAGCCAGCCCAGGAAAAAGCTTTACCACTTGATTCAGCCGACAATATACAGTGGCACCTCGGGTTACAGACGCTTCAGGTTACAGACTCCGCTAACCCAGAAATAGTACCTTGGGTTAAGAACTTTGCTTCAGGATGAGAACAGAAATCGTGCTCTGGCGGCGCGGCGGCAGCGGGAGGCCCAATTAGCTAAAGTGGTGCTTCAGGTTAAGAACAGTTTCAGGTTAAGAACGGACCTCCAGGACAAATTAAGTTCTTAACCCGAGGTACCACTGTACATGCTGCAGGGGATGGAGTTCAGGCAGAGTCAGAGCGAAAGATTTTGAAGTGTTTCGCTTTGACCCTGCTACCAGTCACTTGCTTAGGTTATCACAGATTTCGACAGAAGCACATACACTTCCAACATCGGACGCCAATCCGTTGTCCCCATTTGATCAAGCAGTGTATGGAAAGTCCATCTATTGTAAGAGAAGGTTGTTGCTAGGATTGCAACCATAGGAGGGGCCCAATATTTCAAATATCATTTCTCTGGCTTCTTCCCCCTCCCCCCCACTTCGGCATTCCTCCTTCACTCTTCTCTATTCCGTTTTTATTATGCAAGAGTGGGGGGGAAATAGGGAGCGAAATTTCATATGGCATCAAAAAAACAAAAAAGAAAGAAGGAAGGGAAAGCCGTTTTGACAAGGTGGGTCAAAACCCATCAGTGGCTCGTTGGAGCCTGCAATGAGTGATGCTTTGCGAGGTGGCAAGAAGCGGGCGACCCCTCGGCTTGCCGGCACGACTTCTGGAAAAGGACATGATTCTCCTGTTGGATCCTAGTAATAAAAGCAAAGCGAGAAGCACTTTTTCCGCTTTTCAACTGGCACTTCAGTTCTTCAAAGGGTTTCCAGTGTCAGCCGCCTTCATCTTTCCATTAAAAAAAAGAAAGAAGAGGGAAAAACCCCACGCAGATCAAAGCTAAAAGCAACCTCCCCATCAAGAAACACCGAACCTAGGAATAGCCTCCCCTGCCAGCAGTGAAAATGGAATTTAACAGATGCATTCCCTTGGTGTTTTTTTGTTTTTGTTTTGAATCCCTTGCTGTTCCACCCAGGCCCAGGGGCCAAATGTGGGGACCTGGGCCTCTCTGTCTGGCCCCTCAGGACTGTCTCCAGCTCACACCTGCTCCCTCTGGGCCACACCCCTGACGGACTCTGCTTCCTTTGCATCCTCCCGGATTGTTTTTGCTTTGGAATGCGCCCTTGAACACTGATAATGTTTCTAGCTTGCCTGGACAGAGGATAAAGAGAGATGTGAGAGCCTGTGCAGAAACTAGTCTACAGTGGTACCTCAGGTTAAGTACTTAATTTGTTCCGGAGGTCCGTTCTTAACCTGAAACTGTTCTTAACCTGAAGCACCACTTTAGCTAATGGGGCCTCCTGCTGCCGCCGCGCCGCCGGAGCACGATTTCTGTTCTCATCCTGAAGCAAAGCTCTTAACCTGAAGCACTATTTCTGGGTTAGCAGAGTCTGTAACCTGAAGCGTCTGTAACCTGAAGCGTATGTAACCTGAGGTACCACTGTACTGTACAAAGCCAAAGTTCAAAATTGTTGCTTCCCATTTGCCTCTGGCCCTGTCCAGCACTGGTATGTGGCCCTTGGGAAGTTGCCTGGAAGCCAATGTGGCCCTCGAGCTGGGAAAGACGTCCCCATCCCTGACCTAGGTGCTCAGGCTAAGTGCTCTCGGTGGTTTCCTGCGGACTTCTGCCTACCTCTCAAGACCTGGATGTAAAAAGCAGGTTTGGGTAAACAAAGTCTGCTTATTTGCCCAGTGCAATCTCCGAGCTGCCACTCAGAGCAGCTCCAAGCCAAGGAAAGGTTTAATGTTCTTTTTTCTTTTTTGTCTGCTACTGCTGGGAGAACACAAACCAATACACAGAAAGAGATCAGAGTGCCACCGGTCCCAGAGCTACTTCTCAAGGTTACACAGACAATTGTTGTACATTACCACACACATGAGCGGCCCCCGAGGCCAGCTGCGTTGTCGGGTCTCAGCTCCCCAGCAGAGTCATTAACAGCCCGCATTACGGCAAATAATATTTCCTTCCTTTACGATTATCGTATCATCAAAATTTCAGGGCCGCACCAGGCCACTAATGGCTTCCTAAGAAGCATCAAATTTTAATCTCCTTCTTCCCTCCTCCTCCTCCTCTGCAACCTGCTCACCCGCAAACTACTCTCCTTCCTCAGCTGCTCACATAAGGCTGGTAACTAATGCACTGGCTAAACTTAAGTAAGAAGCAAAGCAGTCCTCACCTCCAGATGCAGGAAGTAGAAGAGGAGTTGCGGAGGTCACATACTGCCAAACAGAATGAAATGCATAACAGGGTATGATGGCCAATTAATAGGGTTCGTTTCTCTCTCCCCAACCTCTGGAACCGGAACTCAACAGATACACTGCCCCTGAACATGGAAGTTTCATTTAGCTATCATAGTCAACAGACCAATCCATTGATAAGACCAGTCCTCCTCCACGGATCTGGCCTGAGATCATCACCATATCATGAGCAGCGTTCAAAATTAGCTAGGCGCCAGGTGCGTTTCGCGACTGGCGCCGGTCCAACTGTGACCACATGGAGATCTCTGTATGCCAGGCTGGCAACTGGGGAAAGCAAAATGTCACTTAGAGAAGGAACTGAAATATTGTTATTGAAGATTATTATTATTAGTTGTTTTGTTGTTGTTGTTGTTGTTGTTGTTTTATTCGATGCTTTAATGTGTTGTAAACGACATTGAGATTTGTTCTTTAAACAATAAACCACTACAGAAATGAAATGGACAACAATAAATAAAGATGATGATGATGATAAAGTCCACTGCAAAACATAAACAAACAAACAAAAATGTTTGTGGGCCTAGACATTCCACTGTGGCGGCTGTAAGCCAGGCTTAAGGCGCCATTTGGCAATTAGATTATATATATATACAATGGTGCCTCGCAAGACGAAATTAATCCGTTCCGCGAGAGTCTTTGTCTAGCGGTTTTTTCGTCTTGCGAAGCAACCCTATTAGCGGCTTAACGGATTAGCGCTATTAGCGGTTTAGTGGCTATTAAAGGCTTAAAGGCTTAGCGGATTAGCTGCTAAAAGGCTATTAAAGGCTATTAAAGGCTTAGCGGATTAGATAAAGGGGGGGGGAAGCGGAAAAAAAAAATCTCAAGACTCGCAAAACATTTTCGTCTTGCGAAGCAAGCCCATAGGGAAATTCGTCCTGCGAAGCAACTCAAAAACGGAAAACCCTTTCGTCTAGCGGGTTTTCCATCTTGCGAGGCATTCGTCTTGCGGGGCACCACTGTATGAGTTTCTAACACAGGGTGTGACAGTAAATTCCATTAAGTTAACTGTGAATTGTGTGAAGAATTTGTTTCTTTTGATCATCCTGTTGCCAACTGATGTCATCGCATGACTCCAAGTTCTAATGCAGTGGAAAGTAAGGCGAAAGCTACTTTCTCAACACCACAAATAAATTGATAGAACTCTTATCATATTGGGTTGTCTTTCCCCCCCTTCTAAACTGAGAACACTTGAGACTTCCCTCACTGGCAAGAGGCTCTAATCCGTTGCACCTTTTCCAGTTCTGTCTATCACAATATTTTAAAGGTGGGGCATTATTAGCGATCAAGCTTCACCAGAGAAGAAACATCTGCTGAACAAGGAAGCTTTATTCCACGTTAGGGTTGTCTCAAAGCCACAGTCCTCAAAGTAGGTTAGCATCCCTAAGGGAAGTCTATTCCAACTTGGTGCCATCGAGATGAACTACAGCTCCCATCTCCCATGACCACTGGTCATGGTGGCTGAGGCTGATGGGTACTGGAGTCCAACAACATGTAGATGGCACCAGGCTGGGGAAGGACGCCCAATGAGATGTGGCCATTCCTAGGGCCAAAACTGCACTAAGCAGCTCCTTCCTTGAGTCAGGACTTCCTTGGATGGGGTCCTGGATCTGGTGTTGGGAAAATGGAAGATGAGGGGGTAAGAGCGATTTCTGTTTATGGGCGGCGAAGTCCTGGCGGAGGATGTCAGGACCAGGGGCAAGATGGCGGGGTGGGAGCAGGAACGAGAGTCAGGAAGCCAAGGGTCAGAGAGTCGGAAGTCAAGAAGCCAAGGGTCTGAGGATCAGGAAGCAAGGAGTCAAGAAGCCAAACACAGCAAGGCAAGAAGCGTGTTGCTGTGTCAAAGAGCCAAAGGGAAATGCTGACCTTATATCCCTTCCCGGCTCTTGCTACCAGGTGCTGTGAGTTACCAACTGGCTGCCTCGCCTCGCCTCTCGAGAACAAACTTAGGAAAGCCCCAGTCCTGCGAAGCCCTACCAGTCACAGGGCCTGGCTCCTGCACACACTCCTGACAGATTTCTATGCAAGGACTTTTTTTAAGCAGGGGAGACGGAAACAGGAAATTCTGTTTGTGCTCATCCCATACTTTGAAATACTTATTTGGTGGGAGGAAATAAAAGAGGAGTCTATCACAATGTGGCCTTTAATCGCCCAGCAGAGGTTGAGCCACTGAGGGCACTCCAGCTGAGACCCACCTCTGAGCCGCAATGCCATCAGCTCCGTGACATATTATCCTCCTGATAAACATTGCATTCCACTGTGGATAATTAGCAATCGGCTTTAATCAATAAGTTATTTTTGCCCGAGGTAATTAATAATTACGTGGCGCGGCTTGCCTCGACAATAATTAAACTTTCGGTGTTCCTTCCCCGATTGGCATTCTGGCATGTATATAACAACTGCGGGTAATCAAACTTTTTTTTTTTTACTTCTACACAGGCGGAGCCATTAGGGCAGTGGTTCTCTGGCTTTGAGTATTTTTTTGGTTTGGTTTCTCTTTCATTCTTCTCCCCCCTTTGCTTCTCAAGCTCTTATCGACCAGCCTTTCTTTAGCTGAATCGATCATGCAACAAAAGACGGATGTCAGCTCAGATCTTCGTAGGAAGATGCCAAGCTATTGTACCCCCGCTCAGCTTCCAAAACTCAGACCCATAAGCTTCTGAAAAGAGCTCCCCCAACTGGAACCTGCCAATACAAATCAGACAAAAGGAAAACAGCGGAACCAGCTATACAGGATAGTGTGGTGTATCGACCTGATGCGACTTTTTCTTATCATGAGGAAAAGCTATACTTTTACAACATTAGTAGTATATATTAGTAGCAGTGTATATTAGTGAAGTGATGTTGAATTCATGCCCGATGTGCAAGCTTCTGATAGGCATCTGATTTGTCAAGGATGTTGGACAAGACAGGACTGATTCAGCAGCCTCTTCTTCTGTTTATACAGTCATACCTCAGGTTACAGATGCTTCAGGTTACATACGCTTCAGGTTACAGACTCCACTAACCCAGAAATAGTACCTTGGGTTAAGAACTTTGCTTCAGGATGAGAACAGAAATCGTGCGGCGGCAGCGCGAGGCCCCATTAGCTAAAGTGGTACCTCAGGTTAAGAACATTTTCAGGTCAGGTTAAGAATGGACCTCCAGAACGAATTAAGTTCTTAACCCAAGGTACCATTGTACATTCTTATACAACAGAGCTTCCCAAACATGGGTCTCCAGCTGTTTTTTAGACTACAGTTCCCATCATCCCTGACGACTGATCCTGCTAGCTAGGGATGATGGGAGTTGTAGTCCAAAACAGCTGGAGACCCAAGTTTGGGAAACCCTGTAATACAACATGCTTACATTTAGTCGATATTAGTGGTTATATAAAGCACCACATCCATGGACTATTCTTACCTCCACACCCCAAACACACAGTCAAAAAGAGACATGGGTTGGATCACATCGTTGGCTGTATTTTCCTCGAGCTCCTAGTCAGCGTATTCGTGGACTTCCAATTGCAGAGGCAACCACACGAAAGAGATAAGTGCAGGGAGTTTAAAAGGTGGCCTGAGTTCGACTCAGAAATGCAAACTTCTGAACTTAGGCATTTCATTAGCTAGATAAACAAGTGGTTTTAAGAACCAGCTACCCTCAAATCAAAATATCAAGTATAATTTGAGGTTCCCAGAACTACAGGCATGAGATAGGAGATTTGCCTTATTTCTCAGGTTATTTAAAAAAAAAGAGGGGGGGCAATGTTAAATATCAATGCCAGTTTAAGTTTGTATTACCAACTGTTCATCAGAGGGCTATTTTACACATTACACCACACACAGGCAAATGTGGGTTTGTCACGAAGCGCACACTCCACAAGGAGCTGTGGCCAATTGCAGCTCCCCATTAAGTGTCACTTCATGAAATACGTGTCTGTTGCATCCACATGTATTATCATTATTAATTAATTAAGTACCTCTCTCACATGCAAAATTTGTGTGGGTATATCTCACGTGTCAAAGGCCACCACACACACACACACACACACACACACACAAAAGTGTGTAACATGGCACTTAATTTATATTTCCTGGGAAACTGACAGACCTAGCAGACACATGGCCAAGAATGCAGTGGTGAAGTGGATGAATTAACAAGTTTATGGAGAAGAAGAAGAGATAAAAATGTCCAAAGCAAGGCTTGAGCAAGATGTGAACGAAATGATCACGTTCAGCTTTGGGATGATGGATGGGGAGCATAGCAACATTTCTCAACTACATACAGGGCCATTATAAAGAGCAGCTGTCTCCATGGCCACCAGTGGGCTAGGATCCTAAACTCACATAAATGAATGGAATTGTTATAGTGAAACCCTGAGATTACCGTTAGGGAGAAATGCGTTCTTGAAGAACAGGATGTACAAAAACAAAACAAAGCCAAGCTTTCGGGAAAAGTTATCGACTTTAATTATTCTGTCCAAGGAACAAAGTACGTGACCTTTCTTCGTTACAATCAAAATGTAAACATAAAACGACTAGCAGCATCACCATCTCTGCCTGCAGCCCATCCAAAAATGTTTAGCAGAATTCCATGTGGCAACCGGAAGAAGACGAAGCAGGGAAGCAAGCAACTTACTCCAAAATGATCCTATATTTAATCACCCCCATCTGGCTGTGCACACATAGCACAAATTAGCTGTTTGGGGAGGAGAGAGTGTCTCCGAAATAATTGATCAGCACTGTTGCAGGTTTTCCGACTAACCATACAGCTGGATTCAGTCAGGAATCACAAACAGAACACCTGCTTGCATATATAGCTCCTCAACCATGAGTGGGTAAGCGCGCAGAACTTAACTAGGTGGATTTGGGTGGCTTTTTTGATGCTACAGTCCTAGCTCCCCAGTGAGGGCACTACAGAAATGCATGGCCACCCTTATATCCAGAAGACAGGCTGGTGTGTGGATTGTTGGCTATTTGCAGTTTGGTAGCGCTGCAGAGAGCTTGCTGGGGAGACCATGCATTAAAAAGGGACTCAAAAATAACTTAAAGGTTTTAATAAGAAAAACAAAAACTCCGTTTACACTAAATACATCAACAATCCAACATGACCCAACCACCAACCCATCCCCCAGGGTAATGGGAGAGCTAGGTGCTGCTCCTTATATACTACACCCAATTGCCAACACAGCTTAATCAATACAACTCAGCAGCACCTGCTATGTTTCACAGCTGTAAAGCTGGGTCTCGTTATTTTGCTCTGGCCCTTGCTCTGGCCCCTTAAAGACATACACATCGAGTGGAACAATGATGAACCTTTACATATTAAGAAACCATTCAACATGGATATTGACAGTGACACAAGGAGTGGATATTGCTTCCAAAGCACTAATTTTTACATCTGCTTTGAGAATGTAAGGGCCTAACAATAAAGGTAAAGGTACCCCTGCCCGTACGGGCCAGTCGTGTCCGACTCTAGGGTTGTGCGCTCATCTCGCTTAAGAAGCCAGGCGCCAGTGCTGTCCGGAGACACCTCCGGGTCACGTGGCCAGAGTGACGAAGCTGCTCTGGCGAGCCTGCACCAGCGCAGCACACGGAAACGCCGTTTACCTTCCCGCTATAAAGCGGTACCTATTTATCTACTTGCACTTAGGGTGCTTTCGAACTGCTAGGTGGGCAGGAGCTGGGACCGAACGACGGGAGCTCACCCCGCCGTGGGGATTTGAACCGCCGACCATACGATCGGCAAGTCCTAGGCACTGAGGTTTTACCCACAGCGCCACCCGGGCCTAACAATACATTATGAGAAATGCCTAGCTACTGCCATCTCCCTCTTGCTTCCTGGTAAGAAAGCCGAGTGCAGCCTTGCATGGAAGTCCACAAAGACTACCAACCAAAAGCATTTTGCTGCTCCTTCTTAACCACAATTGATGGCAGACTAAAGTTCAAGGCAGTGGCAGATAATTTAGTTCTATTCTGGTTCAGAGAAACTACCCTGGCTGATAGCCTGGCGACTGGCTATTTACAACCCTGGTCCAATAAAGGAAATGCATGATTAATGTGACCTCTTTGCGTTCAGTATTTCCTTTATCCTTGCAAACAGCAGCCAATAAACACTGGACTTGATATTATGTCACCTGTTTCGCTAAATGCATGGGCCATGGGGAAAGACATAGGTTCACAGTGGTGCCTCATAATGTCTAGTTTGCAATCCTGTACAATGAGTTCAACGAATTTTTCTCCCAGGTAAGTGCGTCTAGCAGGGTGAGCCAATGTGGTGCTCTCCAAATATTACTGGACATCAAACTTCCTTCAGCACCAGCCAGTAATATCCGATGATCAGAGAGGAGTGAAGTAGTACCAAGTTGGTTATCGCTGGTGTATAAGATTGCACCATAAGTCTCCAAATAATTCAAGAATCTAATAGTAAAAGTACAATATTTTAGACCACAGCTTTTTTTTTACTAGGTTATCCTTACTACTGCCTCCTTTTTTGCCCATCTCTTCTGCATATTTTAAGTGTGTGGTTTTTTTTAATTGCAGGAAACATACCATGAAATGGTACTGCATTACAGTTACGAAACCCGATTCATTCAACGGTCAACAAGAAATTCAAGTGGATAACCTTGTGCTAATTCTCCTTCCCTTGGCCGACACACACACAGTATTTCAGTGAAACACACACTACAGTTTTTTAAACAAAGACAACAGAGGCAGGAGTTTACGAAATAAATTGGGGAAAGTTCATAACGCAGGCCATAATAGCTTCTGATGCCTGAGAGCAAACACAATGCAAGGGAGCCCAGGAGACAGAAACTCGGAGACAAGGAGAAGAGGAACTCGGCGAGCGCAAGTGAATCAATCAAAGAGACCGTCACAGTTTCTGACACAGGGGCCCTTCTGGATAATATACTGCGAGTTTATCTGTTATGTTCTGGACTTAATTACTGAGAAATTATAGGCTAGGTGCAAAGAAGAGGCAGCATTAAGAGCCAGGGGCACTGAGAAGGCTTTGGCTTCGTCAGCTGCTGGAAACAATGGCTATAAATTCAGAGGAGAGAGAGAGAGAAAGAATACATTGTGATATGCACCTTGGATATTAGGTACCTGAAGGAAAGAGTCGCAGGCTCCTCCACAGTCACAAATGCTGCCCCACTGCCTGGGCAAGGTTTCCAAAGACATAATGCCACCCCTGGAGCAAAGGGACAGATGTTAAGGGTCAGGCTAGAAACCTTCCTGACTTGAATGCAGGAATATGTGAACCATTACTCCATGCCAGGGGGGGTTACTCCCCATCCTGGAATGGACCCACTGACACCCCAATGTTTTAAGAGGGTTTCTGGTACTCATTGGCCATGGTGCTGATAATGCCAAGGTTGCGGGTTCAATCCCCACATGGGACAAGCTGCATGTTCCTGCATTGTTGACTAGATGATCCTCTACGATTCTACGTCACTGGAACAGGACTAGGTTCCCACATTTGCCACTGAACTGTGGATGCAGTTTTATTTTCACCTCTAGCTAGTCTCTCTCTCTCACACATTTAGCCTGCCAAGCCCTTTCAAAGCAAGGCTGCTTTTCACTCTGTGCATCTGTGTAGCAAACAACATGTGGAACAAAAATGGTTTTGACCTCAACATCAGCGTCACTAAATGTGGCTGTAATTCTTTGTCATTATGAACACAGATATCCCCTGTATAGCCTTTCTCTGCAACCTAGAAGGGGCAGCATACACAGCTACTGGGCAAAGAACTGTTCCTCCTCTTGAAGATTTGGTGTGCCTCCTGAAGATTTTGTTAAGCTTTCTACCAAACTGGTGCTACGTGTGCCTAAATAGCATGACTAGACATTTGCTAATCATCACATGGCTCCCGCGTCCTCAGACCTAGAAAGAGTTCCCCAGCCCTGGTCCCCAAGCGCCTTTTGCAAGCAAACAATATGCTCTACCACTAACCTACGACCCATCTCTGTAGGTGTCACAGAGCCTGCTGGTCAGCCATCACACGGTTCAAACTTGGAGTTAACTCTTTATTAGCAAAAGCACAATCTCCACATACTTGGCAGAGAGTCAAGCCTAAGGAGCAGAGCAGCTCATTCCTGGTGGTCTTGCTCCATGAAAAACCAGTTGGTGAGATTGGAAGTCTCTGCCTCCCCACAGCCATCTAAGTCCCCTCCTCTCCAGGGCTTTTTCCAAGCAATCGGAGACTGCGTCTGTGCATCACCAACCTCTCTTCATGCCTCTCTTGATTCTGGGAGAAAGGAGGGAGGGGAGCTTGTCGCAGCCGGAGGGAGAGACACCCAAGACTCTTCATCAGCCTGACTCATCTCTGCCTCCTCCCACTTGACAGCACTTTCCCAGCTCACTAAGCTCTGTTAACCCTTCAGCTTTTGACACATCCTCTTCCCAGTCTTCTCTCTCTTCTTCTCCCCCCTCTTGACCACCCATCGTTGTCCTGCCACCACTCCCCAGGCTCTGAGCCTTCTTCCCTTAGTGGTTCCCCAACTCCTTCCTCCTACCATTCCTCTACGTCCAACCAGTCCTAACAGTAGGCCAGTGTGCACTTCACGGAAAGCAATGTAGTGCAAATGACCACACCCATATGTGCATTTCGTTTAGGCCTTGCAACAGGGAACATAAGAAGCTGCCTTACATCAGGTCAGACTATATTTCCCATCTTCCCAATGCTGTCTACTCAGACAGCAGCTCCCCCAGGGTCTCAGGCAGAAAAGGGTCTTCTCCCATCATCTGCTTCCTGGTCCTTTACAAACTGGAGATTTAGGGTTCCCAACTGACCAGAAAAACATGGGGCAAACTTACGTTGTGCTCCTGTGATTTTTCTTTAAGTCAACTGACTGTTGTGTCAGCAAGTCAAGCTTCCCATGACATAAGCATTGCAACCTGCCAATGACTGCAGCTCATAGTAGGACACACACTCTACATATACATATACATATACATATTCAGTACATATACATATACGTATACACGCTGGCAACCCTATTGTCACATAAAAGCATCCTATTGAGCCTCAGTGGAGTTATCCACCCATTGAAGTTAGCTGTCAAGACTGACATTCTTTTAGTTCCTGCTTTGGCACAAAGTGCCCCAGACTTTTAAAGGCAAGATTGGACGAGCTTCACCATGCATTTTGACAGCTGCGCATGATCCCTAGGGGTCATTAGGGAATGGGGTGGCGAAGAAATGCAGAAGATATAGAACCTGCCCACCGTACTTGTGCTTGCACAATGTATCAAGTAGTGGTTTAATAAATTTGGGTAATTTTTTAAAAATATTGCATTCAGCCCACAGTAATCATGGAAGATGCCAATACCACAAGCCTAATGTGTGGTATTAAGAAACCCTTTTGCATCCCCAAAGTCTACTATAAAAAGAAAGCACTTTTCCCCTCTTCCTTGGCATCATCACACATCCCTCCTCTTGCCCTTTCAGGTAGTTTAGAGTTTCCAAGAGCCTACATTGGCTGGTGCATCCAGATCAATGCTCTCTGCCTAAAGAGGGAGTCTATTTATGTATCACGTTCAGATAACAGAAGTGGCTGAATATAGTCTGCACAGCACATAAGCATCCCGGAGGCAATTAGCTTATCGCATGGTCCTGCGCTGGCTTGTGGCACTCGCAGACCATGGCCTGTCGTGAAAGGGTACTCGCCAACGACCTTTTTTCTAATGGCAAACTTTTCATTTGATTCACCTTAAGTGGGTTTTACATAGCCAGGTTCCAACAGCTCTGCAGAGAGGGAAAACTGGACGGGAGGGAATTGAGAACAGTGGATGGGAGGGAACGTTAAGATTTTAGCAACTGGTGGCTGAAGCAAACCCACCAAGCCCCAGAAGCTGACAAAAATGTGTTTAGCTGAAGGATATACTCTAGTTCAACCCAAAGAGGGCAAATATCTAAGTGTACTGTTTGAGGGAATAAATACAGTGTGTGTGTGTGTGGGGGGGTTTTGCCTCTTCCACCCAGAGATGATTACGCAGCATCCAAGCTGCAAATCCCACCAGCCCATTATACACATTTATAGTCCTGCCGCTCCCCCCCCCCCATCCACACAGCCAAATGTGGGGGTTTTTTTGCTCGGGGGCAGAAGCACAGGGTAGCAGTTATGTGCCCTTTGCATTAGCTTCCACAACATATCCTTTTGCTGCGGATGCTCTCCATTATGAGCAAGGCTTTGCCATCACCCGACTGCCAGCCTCGGGAGAAAATAAATCAAGTTGGACCCTGGAACTGCCGCTCATCTCGCCCCCACTTCATTTCCCTCGGCAGCCCCAAGGAGCTATCACCAGCCTCCATGGGTTCAGCCGGCCATTGCATCCTGCCTCTTGACCATAAATCTCTCCTGGCTGGTATTGTTATCTTGACAGGTCAAGAGATAGAAAAGGAGGCGAGGAGAAGGTGCCTGGTGAGATATTATACAGGCGGGCTGTAAAACCTGTGCCAGTCATTTGCCGTTTGGATAACTAACCAAATATTGGATCAGCCCACGGATGGAGGAGGGGAAAGGGGAGTTTGGGAAGCTTCTGAAACTTTTTCAAGAGTCCTGAGACTGTGGTAAAAGAAAAAGAAAAAAGAGGGGGAAGGAAAGGAGAGAAAACGAACAGCTACAGGCAACAGGTAGATCAAGTGGGAACACTATTCTAGGGCAACTGATTGAATTCTCCAGACCACAACAAAACACCTCCCCAAACAGCCCTAGTTTTTAATCCCCTCAGCAACTTTTCCTTGTTGCTGTTGGACTCCCATCATTCGCTTTTTTCTTCTTCGCAAATCGTCCAAAAACCGTCTGCTTTCTTTCATCAACGCCCCCCAATCTGTGAACCAGGGCGTTTAAAGGATTTTTTTAGTTTTTTGGACAAATTGGTGCTTTTATAACAAGACAGAACGAGAAGAACCGCTGCTACGACAACCCAGCTTTTCCTGGGTTGCAGGAGGATTAACCCTTTCCTGAGGCATGGGAAAAGAATGGCATGTGGCGGCCATTGTCTTCAATCAGTCCCTCACTCTGCCCGCTTCTCTCCCCCCCCCCCGCGCCCCTCCCCGCCTCAGTTGGAATGCCAGGCGCGCGGGAATTTCGCTACGCCGGGCTGCTCTGGCCAATGAAGTCACACACATCAAACGAGGCTGGACGTGAAATGGCGGGGGGGGGGGGGCTGAGAGGAGAGAATGAGGCGCTTTGGCGCCGGGACGACGCCGACGACACTTGACGGCTGCCCTACGCTCCCCGCTTCGCCTCTGCGCGCTTTGAAAAGCCTGCCCACCTGTAAGCAGCTTTGGAGAGAGAAGCCCTTATCGCGAGACAACAGGCTGTGCAAGAAAAGAGGTCACCCTCTCCATCTAGCCTTTAAAAAATAAAAGGCTGGCGCGCGAGAGGGAGCCTGGAGAAGTCGCCGTATTGTTATTATTTCCTCAGAGTCGCCGCACAATTCATTTCCCCCCTCAGCTTGAGGGAAGGTTTATTCTGGGGGGAAAAACCACCCAAGGCAGTATTTTCTTTTGTGGTGACAGAGAGAGAAGGAGGGAGCTCTCTCTCTCCTTCTCTTTCTTTTCTTTTAGGTCTGCCCCACGTGTTGCATTCTTCTCCCCCGGAAGTTCTCTGGGTATCCCAGGCAGCCTGCTTTGCACTGGGCTGTGCACGACGCACACACACAAAACGCACGCAGAAAGGGAGACACACGCAGCCCTCTGCAAGGAACATTCAAGCCTTTTGGCCGCGCGAAGGAGAAGCCGGGTTCACCGGCGGCCAGCCCGCGCTTGGAGAGGGGCCGGCGGTGCTTCGGGGAAACCTCGCCCCGCAGGCTTCTTCCTGGGCGCGCAACCCAGACGGGCGCGCATTCCGATCCTTTGCGTTTTTAAAAGAAACGGCTGCGCTCGAAGGCAAGCCCCACCGGACTTGTCTTGGGGCTGAAAGCTCGTTTCTTTCCCACTTGCTAGGGATCGAGCCCCACTTCTTAAATGAGAAGGGTCGAGTTAGGATCGCGCTGTTAATTCCGCCGCCCCCCCAGCAGAGAATATAGAAAGTGCCCTTCAACAGGAGGCCCTCCTCCTTTCCCCCCTCCTCTTTAAAGCCTTTCTTTTTATCTCTCTCAAATCTCCAGCGCCTGCCTGCCTCTCCTCGTCTCCGACTCCCTCCTTCCCACTCCGCTTTGATCTCTTGATTACTTTTGAACAGGCATTTCAGTCCCGCAAACCGACCAGACGTAAACTTCTCCAAAGCCGTGTCTCCCGGCATCCACAACAAAACAACCCCCCCCCCCGCCGTCAACCTCCTCCTGACTAACCAAAGCACAGATCGGACCGAATTGAAGAAAACTCTACATCGCCCAACTAAGAAGAAAAAAGCAGAGGATTTCGCCCCCTCTTTCTTTCTGCCAATCTCTTACCCCCCGCCGCCGCCGCCCCTTTCCCATTAACAGGCTCTCCTTAGCCTGTGGCTGAGTTGTTCAACTTCCATCAGCCCAAAAAAGTCATGCACAACCCTCAACGCGAAGTGCGGGTCTTGCTATCCAGCAGCTACTAGGAGCTAAATATCCAGATTTTGCCGCGCGCCCCTATATCTCCGTTGCACCGTCCAGCGCCCCCCCGCCCCAAACCACACATACAAGCCATTGAAGGCGGGCAGGGGGCTTCGTAAGCAACCCCCTCCTCGATTTACCTTGGGCTGTGGCTGCAGGGCTGCCCAGAAGCACGACGATCACGCAGCACATTATCTCCCAGCGTTTGCCAATCCCAGCCATGGTTACCAGAGAAGCTTTGCAAGGAAGAGAACTTCTGCTGGAGCGGGTTTTTGTTTGTTTGTTCTTTACTGTATCTAATATCCCTTATGCCTGCTGTCGGATCCCAGGAAGAACCGCGCAGGGGAGAGGGGATTCCCTCCGCTCTTCTTCAGTTTTGATAACGATCTTCTCGGCCAGACCTTAGAGAAAGCCCCTTCGTCCTCCAGGGCGCATTGAAAAAGCAAACAGGGAGGCAGCAATTATATCCAATTGAAACATCCCGCCCTAGGATCAACTCTTAAAAAAAAAAAAAAGTCTACGGGGGAACGGGGAATTGTGAAGTCCGCTGCAACGCAGCCACCACCTCCATCCTCCAGGGGGTTCGGCGGGCGAGGAAGCACAGAGAGTTTGGCAGGCAAGGCACCCACTGGCGCGCCTCGTCGGAGTTCGGAGCTGTTGCAAATTCTTGCCCTCCTCCGCCGGGGTCGCAGCAGAAGCAGCAGCGCGGAAGGAGCGGACGGCGCTCGGCTCCCTGGATCTCGTGGAAGCTCAACAGGGGGGGGGGGAAGGAGGAGGAAACCTTTACGGGGGAGAAGAGATGGGGGGTGGGGGGAGGTTTCCAGGAACTGCTCCGAGCTCCGGGCTTCTCAAAACATTACTTCAAGGCTACGGAGATCGATCCCTGCAAAGGCAACGATCGACTCGTGGAGTCACGAGAAGAAAGGGGGAGGGATCGACTCAGACTCAGACACGCAAATCCCAGACGGCGCGAAGTTTTCTCTCGGTAGGCACTGCGGCGGGTTTCAAGACGGGGGGAAAAGTTTCGCGGAGGGGGAGGGTCCGGACTGGGGTGGGGGTCCGGGGTTCTCCCCTCCCCGATTCCCCCCCGCTCAGCTCGCCAGGCGAGCGGTCTCCTTCTCCATGGCCGGAGGCAGCGGCTTGCGTCTCTCTCTCCCTCTCCTGAACGTGTCCGCCTCCCACAGCACCCCCACCCACCCCAAGCGCCGGCTGAAAGGCGGAAGGCGAGCTGGCGGCGACGGGTCTCCAAGGGCAGTCGCGGCGCGCCTCTCTTGCGGGGGGCACGCCGGCTCCTCCAGCGGCTCTGCTGCTGCTGCCGCCCTCCCGCTCCTCGGCTCGGCAGCAGCGGAGTGAGCCAAAGATCTGGCAGCAGTAGAGCCGCCAGCAGTAGCAGCGGCGGCGGCAGCCTCAGCCCGGGGTAGGCGGAGAAAGAGAGAGGCCGGCAGCGCCACCTGGTGACCGACGCCGGCTCCCAGAGCGCCCGGTGCGCGCCAGGCAGGACTGGCTGGCGGCTGGCCGAGCGCAGCTCAACAGGGCGGCGTTGAAGGCTGGGCACGAAAAGCCTCCGCTCTGCGCGAACCGGAGGCCACAGCCTTCCTTTCCTCCGCCTTCGAGGATATGAGAAGCCCCCTCTGAAAAGACCCAGGTGCGGGCGCGACTTCTGTGCGTGGGAAGGGCGCGATCCTAAGAGGGATGCGCGCAGAAGATGTGCTGTGCCGGCATCCCTGCCTCCGGGGGTGGGTAGGTTAAGGTGTTGTTTTGGTTTTGTTTTAACATGGATCAAAAAAATAATCCGGATTTACTGCCTTTTGTAGACACCCCTGTCTGTAACTCTCCCTGCCCCACCCCCTCCTCCCCCAGTTTCGCAAAATGGATCCAGAAACTCTTTCAGGGGAACACGCTGTTGCAAATGTTTTACATGCCTTTTACAACATGGACCTTGGGCATGTAGTTAAGTACAGTGGTACTTCGGGTTATATACGCTTCAGGTTACAGATGCTTCAGGTTACAGACTCCGCTAACCCAGAAATAGTACCTCGGGTCAAGAACTTTGCTTCAGGATGAGAACAGAAATCACACAGTGGCGGCGTGGCGGCAGCGGGAGACCCCATTAGCTAAAGTGGTGCTTCAGGTTAAGAACAGTTTCAGGTTAAGAATGGACCTCCAGAACAAATTAAGTTCTCAACCTGAGGGACCATTGTACTGGAATCGCAAGCCCTCATAACTGGACACAGGGGTGACAACTTGAAATAGGGGGTCCCAAGTAAGATGTGGTACACACACATCATTTGAATGGCAATGCCCATCACCTGGCGGGGGGGGCAACCTTATCAAATATTTCATTGGGGGGGTGAAGGACACGGGTGGCGCTCTAAACCACTGAGCCTCTTCGGCTTGACGATCAGAAGGTCGGCGTTTCGAATCCCCGCGACGGGGTGAGCTCCCGTTGTTCGGTCCCTGCTCCTGCCAACCTAGCAGTTCGAAAGCACGTCAAAGTGCAAGTAGGTAACTAGGTACCGCTCTGGCGGGAAGGTAAACGCCGTTTCAGTGTGCTGCTCTGCTTCGCCAGAAGCGGCTTAGTCATGCTGGCCACATGACTCGGAAGCTGTACGCCAGCTCCCTTGGCCTGAAGCGAGATGGGCGCCGCAACCCCAGAGTCATCTGCAACTCAACTTAACAATCAGGGATCCTTTACCTTTTTAAAGGGACCTCAGCCCCTAGAAGTTGGCTTCTATGCTCTTGGAGGGAAATTGAAGGAACTGACCTTGGCCTGGCCTCAAAAGAAGCAGAAACGGCAAAGCAAACCTCATTGTCTGCATATCTTTTTACAGCAGGGAGAGGAACCTGTGGTCCTCCAGTTATCTTGGACTCCAGCTACTGGCTTCCCTGCTCACTGTCCATCCTGGGAGTTGTAGTCAAAGGAGCATGGGGCACTTCTATTGAGTCAGACAACTGAGCTACAGCCCTTCCTTCAGATTGAATGATAGTGAGACTGTCCTTAAGGGCATAGGAAGCAGCCTTATGCCAAGTCAGACCAAGATCCCAACCGTAGGTCTCTTAGGTTTCAGGGACATCTGAAGAGACTGCAGATTCAATCTGGGATCTTCTGCATGCAAGCAAATGCTATAGCCCAAGGCTACAGGCTTCCCTTCCCTGGCGCAAAGGAAAGCTATTTGCAGAGTCAACCTACTTAAATCAGAACATGGAGAATCTACTCATCCCTTATATGTGTTTTTTTAATTACTTGAGAGTGAAAAATACAGTTAAAGGCAGCATGGAGGTTATTAAAAATAATGGTATAAATAGACTATTTTTTCACGATCTCTCTATCCAGTTCTATTTTTGTGAGAAAAGAGGTGCCAGAACTCACCGTGAACGCCTCCCTTGTTCTCTTATAATAGCAATGTCGCCCACCTGAGAGGTGCTGGAACTGAGTTCCAGTGAGTTCTGGCTGGGGAAAATAGCCCTGTCTCTATCATTGCTCAAAAACCCTGTTTGTCCCATTGCTCAAAAACCCTGTTTGTCCCAAGTGTAGCCCCCAAAATGCCAACATGGGGGGGGGGGAGTCATAAAGTCAAAGTGAATTCCTTTCAAAACTGAAAGTTTTGCCTAGGTAAAGAGCATAGCACAAACTTGGATAAATTATATGCAAGGCTACAATCAGGGAGGCTTTTGAAGAACAAATTGCTATATATATGTATTGCACCTCATCATACAAAAATTCTTTAAATACATCAGGAGCAGGAAGCCAGCCAGACAGGCAGTGAGCTCCTAGATGACAAAGACGTAACAGGAGCACTCAGGGAAGACAGGGAAATTGCTAAGGCATGTCAATGAATTCTTTACATCTGTCTTTACTGCAGAAGATGTTGGGTGAGATATCTACACCTGAACTTATTTTTTTCCCAAGGCAATAAATCAGAACAGCGTCAAAGAAAAATGACAAAGTATTTTTAGAACTAATCTGCAAGCTAAATCGTAAGAAATCGCCAGGGCCAGATGGCACATTCCCCGGAAAGTTCTTAACTCAAATAGGAAACAGCAAAGTTATATATTATAAGTTAATCATATCTACTCATATACCACAAGACTGTAAGGTCTACGAACACTTTTCTTCTTCCTTTTTTTAAACACCCAGAAATCTTTTCAAACACCCTCCAACTTTAACCGAAAACCGCAATATGGGACCTGCTTTTAGTTGTTTCCAACTCTTTCCTCTTTTTAGGTGGGCCGGGTCTAAGAGAGAGAGTTTGGACAGGTGTGTTTTGTGATGCAGAAATGGATCCACCAGTTTCTTCCATTATGCAATAATCTAAAATAAAAGAGCTCTGGCCTCTTTTACACTTCTGGTTACACTTCCTTTCTCTGCCCCAAATGGTTGTTTCTTCCTCTTCCTCTTCCTCTTCCTCTTCCTCTTCTTCTTCCTGTTTTACCTAAGAGACAGGAAAAGATAGCAGTGTGTTTGTGCTACCCCACCCTAGACTGGGATGCAACCTAACTGCGAATTCCAACCCACTGGAAGACTAATGAAACAGGGAATTATCCCATGTTAATTGCACTCCTAAGATATTTTAAATCAACATTGTATTCATTGTTTCATATTTGATATAGTTTTAAAGCTGGGACAGCCAGCCTGGTACCTTCTGCAGCTCCCATCACCCTTGACCATTGGCCATGCTGGCCTGGGCTGATGTTTACGGGAGTCCAACAATGCCTTGGATGGCCATGGATCCCCCACTCATTTTAAAGGAACATTAAAAAGTGATGAAAAGAGCATCCAATATAAAACTTTATTTCACCTATGCAATCTAGAGCTCTGTGCAGGGCCGAATTTAGGTTTGATGAGGCCCTAAGCTATAAGCTACTGAAGGTAAAAGGTAATTATTATTATTATTATTATTATTATTATTATTATTAACAATTTATACCCCGCCCATCTGGCTGGGCTTCCTCAGCCATTCTGGGCGGCTTCCAACAAAATATTAAAATATAGTAATTCATCAAACATTAAAAGGTAAAGGACCAGTTAAGTCCAGTCGCGAATGACTCTGGGGTTGCGGCGCTCATCTCGCTTTACTGGCCGAGGGAGCTGACATTTGTCTGCAGACAGTTTTTCCAGGTCATGTGGCCAGCATGACTAAGCAGCTTCTGGCAAAACCAGAGCAGCGCACAGAAACGCCGTTTATCTTCCTGCCGGAACAGTACCTATTTATCTACTTGCACTTTGACTTGCTTTCAAACTGCTAGGTTGGCAGGAGCTGGGACTGAACAACGGGAGCTCACCCCGTTGCGGGGATTCGAACCGCCGACCTTCCGATCGGCAAGCCCTAGGCTCAGTGGTTTAGATCACAGCACCACCCGCGTCCCAACTGAAGGTAATGGGGCCCTTTATATGTCCAGCTGTCCTTTGTCAACAACAAATTGTTGCTGTTTTTTGTGTTGAATATATGCTATATGATAATTTATGGACTTAATAGGACTTACAGTGGTGCCTCGCAAGACGAAATTAATCCGTTCCGCGAGTCTCTTCGTCTAGCGGTTTTTTCGTCTTGCGAAGCAACCCTATTAGCGGATTAGCGCTATTAGCGGTTTAGCGGCTATTAAAGGCTTAGCGGCAAAAAGGCTATTAGCGGCTTAGCGGCTTAGAAAAGGGGGGGGGAGCGAAAAAAAATCTCAAGACTCGCAAGACATTTTCGTCTTGTGAAGCAAGCCCATAGGGAAATTCGTCCTGCGAAGCGCATCGAAAAATGGAAAACCCTTTCGTCTAGCGGGTTTTTCGTCTTGCGAGGCATTCGTCTTGCGGGGCACCACTGTAAATGGACTTAAAGCCATTTGCACTTGTTGCTGTGCAACCAGAATGTAGGCACCCTATATATAGAAATGAGCAAACCAGTGATATTTTAGGGAGCAGGCTAGCAGGCGGGGCCCATTACTTACATCATAGGAGCCTATACAACACAAAACACTGTTTCTGTATGTAGGTTT